CGTTTACTCACTTGGATGTGACAGCTCTCAACAAGAAAGACAAGACCTCCTAAGTTGAATGTGCACAGAGATTAAATGGGCTGCCCTGAGAGATAGCTGCTCATCTCTGGAACTGTGTGTTCAATAATAAACTGGATGGTTGACCGACAGGATTCAATGTAAGACTGAGAATTGGACTATTTACATGTTAGATGACTTCTCCCCTTAAGAAGTTCTGATTCAAAGGTAATGGAAGTGATCTATTAAGAATATTAAATGTTAAGCTTTGCATAGCTAATAGCTAAATCTTAGACAGACACAGACTTACAGGCTACCTGTCTGCTATCAAGTTTGAACAAACAGCTTTGAAACTCAAGTTGATGAATCAAAACACTGCACAGGGAACCTCCTTTCTATAAAGTCAGACTACAGATGGTAAGCAACTGCCCTGTGCCAGAGCAACTAGGAACACTCAGCCCAGTCTGGTTTTTCAGGTGTTTGGACAGCAGCTAAGGACAGAAGTAGCCTCAAGAATTTCCTCATCGGTTCGGCACCTGTGGCTCAAGTGGCTAAGGTGCCAGCCACATACACCTAAGGTGGTGGGTTCGAATCCAGCACGGGCCCGCCAAACAACAATGATGGCTGCAACCAAAAAAATAGCCGGGCGTTGTGGCTGGCGCCTGTGGTCCCAGCTACTTGGAGGCTGAGGCAGGAGACTCGCTTGAGCCCAGGATTTGGAAGTTGCTGTGAGCTGTGATGCCACAGCACTCTATTCAGGGGAACAGCTTAAGGCTCTGTTTAAAAAAAAGAATTTTCTCATCAACGTACCCAGTTTACTAAAGAGAAATAGCACATAAAGCTAAATAAAACTCCTCTGAGAACAGGCTACAGTAAATGATATGAACAAATCACTTCATTCTTATTATAGATTTACCTTTTAGAAATTCCATTCAAGTTTGTTTATATTTGAAGAAAACAGTAATAACTGTTATAACCTCAAAATGTATTCCCATCACAAATTGTAAAAATGCATAATGATCATCTTAAAATTTAGAGGACAAGGGCTCTTCTATGATATTTCAAACGATATAAGCTAAAGTACAGCTTTTATGTATACATAATACTGTTCATTGTTCTGTGTGAGGGAACTCTTCAATAATTTTTTTTTTTTTTTTAGAGACAGAGTCTTACTTTGTCACTCTGGGTAGAGTACCATGGCATCATAGCTCACAGCAACCTTAAACTGTTGGGCTCAAGAGATCTTCTTGCCTCTGCCTCCCAAGTGGCTGAGTCTATAGGTGTGTGCCTTCACTCCTGGCTAATTTTTCTATTTTTAGTAGTGATGGTGTCTCACTCAGTGAGGCTGGTCTTGAATTCCTGAGCACAGGGGAGCCTCCCACCCCAGCTCCCAGGCATAGTAGGACTACAGGTGTGAGCCACTGTGCTGGGCCACAATGACCCAATCTTAATAATCCCTCCATTTTGTATATTCAGTATAGACTTTAATAAGAAAAACTTACTATAAAAAAGCATAATTCTGCAGTTTTCGCCCTATGGTTTTTAGTCAAGAAAGTCATAGCCAGGCATGGTGGCTCATACCCATAATTCCAGCACTCTGGGAGGCCAAGGCAGGTGGACTGCCCTGAGCTCACACATTCAAGACCAGCTTGAGCAAGAGTGAGACCCCGTCTCTAAAAATAGCAGGGTGTTATGGCGGGCACCTATAGCCTCAGCTACTCGGGAGGTTGAGGTAAGAGAATTGCTTGAGTCCAACAGTTTGACGTTGTTATGATGCCATGACACTCTACTGAGGATGACAAAGGCTCTGTCTCAAAAAAAAGAGAATCATAAACGTACTACATCTGCAGTAAAACGAATTAAAATTATTGAAGTCAAGATAAAGTATTCCATTCGAATCACTCTATTTAAAATTCTGATAACTGGTAATAGCAGAGGCAAGTACAATTAGACAGTAGTTATGTTCTAAAACACCCATCCACCATGCTAGCTACATGAACCCTAAATTTTGTATATATGCACATAAATGTTTACTTTATAAATTCTATTAACTGAGAACCCCACAACTTGGAATACATGAAAATGAAGTAAATGACCAAAAAAACTCCTTCTTACCTGGTAGATATCAGAAAGACTGCTGCTTCCAGAATCACTAGTGATACTACATCCTGAGTGGCTGGAAGAAACGTGGGTCACCTGTGGGTGGAGACTGTCAGTAAGGTGTAGTTTTGTGAAATCTGCAGGAAGCTATGGAAGGAGCAGGAAAAACTAGGATTACAATTTGAATCAAGATCTCCAAGAAGACATTTTAAAATTAAAATATTATATTATGTTCCATTACACTAAGCCAAAAATGTTATTAGGAAAGATCCTTCATTTTTCAAATTTAAAAATTACTAAATATTACTCTATTTAACAAAAACCACATAATTAATTTTTAAAGTTTATGGGCATACAATGAACCTTAAATAATACTAAATTCAATGCTTTAAGTGAGTTTGATGATTAAGGTGAACTTGGATGAACATTTGATTCAGTAAGTTTACAATTCTCTAATTACACACCAGCGAACACATTAGTCGACTAGTATGTATTGTTAATCACAAATACAACTTTGAAGTCAAGAAACAGTTTAAATGAGGAAACAGATTTGAGGTTCTTTGATGCCCAAATATGTTTAAAGGTTAAAAAAAAAAAAAAAAAGACAGCATCTTATAATCAATTAAGTGTACTGTCATACAAGTAACCATGCTAGACTCTTTGGAGAAAGAAAACAGAAGACCATCAAATAACTTAAAGTTGAGAAAGTTACAGACAACATTTACATATCTATATACACATATATAAATATCCATTTTCTACCTGTTCATGTTCAAATAAAAACAGCCTCCATTAAAATAAAAAATTTGCTAAGCATCCCTCACATTCTGAAGTCTATTGCCCCTCATATATCAGAGAAAAGTTTTTAAAAAAGAAAATATTCACACATTCACTCATTCAACAAATATTACAGAGGCCCTTTTCTCTTATTAGGCCCTAGGCAGCAAGGAAAACTCTAAGAAAACACTTCCCTTAAGAATCTTATGCTCTTATCAGTTATTATTAAGTCTTCTGAATTTAAAAGGACACTGTATTTATCTATAGTATCACCTTGTTGGTCAGTAATGTTACAATAGTTCAAAATGTATGCTAAATAGCATCATGAAATGCTGATAACATTCTTTCATGCCGGCATACTGATCCTACTTAGCTGGTGAATAATAATAAATATAAAGACTGCTAAATTTAATAAAGATTTACCTTAGTAACATCCCATCTACCCTTTGATCCTTATCCCCTTTCTAAAATGAGCTTCTCAAGGAAGATGGTTCAGGTTTATGAGAATGATCAATGGGTTTGATACTTCAAAGTTCCAAACTAAGAGGCAAAATGTATTTATATCCCACATCATTCAGACCTGACTCTCTGAATAAATCACACTCCTCCCTATCTGAAGAGGATGACACTTAACAGTATTTATATGTCGTATGTTCAGAATAATATTTTTTAAACTTTAAAGGACATAAGGTATACAAAGGACAGGATTTAACACAAATTTATTGGGGGGGGGATACGTGTTTTAGAACATTATTATTTATTTATTCAAATAAATGAATACAAACCCATATGTTGGAGGAGCTCAGAGAAATGAAATGTTTATTCAAATTATGTGAAATAACTGCAAGCCCAACTCACTAAGAGTGTTTTTATAAGTGTTAATTAAAGATGTTATGAAACACACTAAAAAATTAGGAGAATAACAGTATTTCTATAAAGAGTAGATAGGCAAATACCTCTAAATTCAGAATGGTGATGTTTTATTCACTATGTAGAATCGTGAATTATTTGCAGGATTTCCTTAGGAACAATTTAAGACAGAAGTTTGTAGAAATGTATTCATGACTATAGTTTTGAATACAGCTAAGTGATGGTTATTGGAGTGTAAAATAAATAACATGTTCATAGCTGGGCTAAATACCTTTCATCATCCTAGCTACACTTCTATTTAAATTCAGTCACTTACTGCAGAAGGCAACTGGGGAACATTACTCTATGGCTCAGGGATTTTAAAAGGCATCAATCAATACATGTAATTACAGAATAAACAAGTGATTTTTACTGATTATCTTTTATAGACGTGACTCAGACCAATGTGTTACACTGTGTGATATTTTTTAAAAAATAACTTCGTATGGCAAATGAAGATATAATTATCCAATGAATTTTTACTTTTTATTTATTCCAGTCTTAGAGGGCACTCTTCCTAGAATCTATCATCTGGTCATCTTTCCCGACTAAGAATTCACTGTGCAGAGAATACTGGAGCTGAGCCTTTACTGTCTGGCCAGAATACTGTCTGGCCTTTACAAACCAATTCTTTGGAACTGAGAAATTTATAAACAATGTTCATCAATCTATGCACACATATATAAGTATCAATGTTCTACTTGTCCATATTTAAATAAAAACAGCCATCTATTAAAATAAGCAGACGTGCTAAGCATCCCTCAAGTTCTGAAATGTACTCATCTAGGCCTGCTTATAACTGCAAATATCAGAATTATGTGGTAATTATAGGCTAAGAACCATAAAGACTCAAAAGAGAAAGAAATATTTTTGCTTTTAAAAATTCAATTCTATTTAATAAATACTTATTGAGTACCTGTTATGTTAGACACTCTTGTCAGGAGCAGGGAACAGCGAGGTGAATAAGACAATTCCTATTTCCATGTGTAATTTCTCCTACCCCAAAAGTCATTGTGATAGGTGTTACAAGCAATAGAAGAATTAATTGAACATAGTTTCTCTGTGTCTTTGAGACAAGGTCTACGTTGCCCAGGCTGGTCTTGAATTCTTGGGCTTAAGCAACCAATCCTCTCGCCTCAGCCATCTAGATAGTTAGGACTACAGGCGTGTGCTACTGTGCCAGGCTTAAACATAGGTTTTTAAACATTGTTTTTATCCTCTCCTCCCTGTCATCTGTGTTCTTTGCAGAATAACATGAAAAAATTATATATTAAGCTTAGATTAAATGCATATGCAATTTAATATTAACTAAATACCTCTTTATACATGTACCAAATAGATACCAAGTTCAAGAAAACTTAAAAATCTTTCTCTTAAAATTGGGATAATGCTATTATTAAATATTATTGACAATATACAATTAGGTTATGGAATAGGGGAAGTTATAAAGGTGTTCCCCATAAAGGAAGAGTCTGAAATGCACCGATGTGGCCCTGCCACAACACTCTAACGGAATAGAGACCCGAGCCCATGCCCAGGAACAATGGAGTTTTTAAGAGGCAAATAAACGATATGGGGGTTGGGTGTCAAGCAGACACAGGTGCAGATACCCATGTTTAATCCCAGTGCATGAAGGTAAGACAACCCCTGTAGGGGGAAGTAACTCATGATCTGAGTAAGATATGCAAAAATGGCACAACAGAACAGCAAGATTCACTTATTTCAACTTTTTTAAACTTGACCCTGTGCCAATTTAGTACATGTCAATAGGCTATTCAATTGAATTTCAGGTTAAAATGATGTGAATTATCTTGTGACTTTAGCCACCATTTATAATAGAAATTCTATTGAAAAAAACAAAAATGTTATGAAATTAGGAGTAATATATGCAGTAATTATCTGAATTAAATCAAATAACTTAATTAAAAGGGAACTGAACATATTTAATACATCTGTATCTTAACACCAAGATATATTTCCCTGCAATTAATTGCAACACAATTCAAAGGAATTACTTACTTATACTTTTCATTTTTGTCATTTAAATATTTTAACACTTGATTATATAAATATATTGACACTCAAATTGAATCAAGCAACCTATAGTCCTAAAAATACACTTGTGAATCACAATTTATTATTTCTAATTTTTTAAATTTCAGATTAATATGAGGGTACAATCGAAGGGATTGCATTGTCTGCACTTGTTAGGTAAAGTCCAAGTTGCAGCTGAGCCCTTTACTTAGGAGAAGTGCCAGGTGCCCTTAAGTGAGAGCTTACCACTCCCCCTTCCCCCCGACTTGAAGTTAATTATGTTTTTCTCTTGTGTGGGTGTGTAGTTGTTCATCCACTGGTTTCATATTATGAATCAAAATTTTAATAATTAGGCAAACAATTGAATCATAGTTTAGCCACAAACACAGCTAAATAAATAAAGAACAAGGATAATATTCAAATTAGATTTAAAATGTTATATTTAGATTATATTAATTTAGGTTTACGCTTACTTTATGTAAAATATAATTAATCATAGCTTCATAAAACCTTGATACTATTTGCCTAACAGCTTGTTTCATTTTGTGGGACCAATATGGACGCTACCATAATTAGCTTCTAAAAAGAAAGTTCTACAAATGACTTAAATCATATATATAAATAGGCATCTTATAATTGCTGGTCCACTAAATCTAATGGTTAGCAATTATAAAATTACTAGCTAATAAATGAACTCTACTTTGAAGATAAGTATGGAATGAGCATGGATATCTTAGAGTCTCTGACGCCACCTAAGTAAATACTTTGTGGAGTTCGTAAAATGCCTGAAAGCAGTGATACTGTAGTAACGACAAGGGTGGCCTGCTGCCTGCCTTCCCCTTCCTTTTCTCTCCCAAGAATCTCTGCATTACTGACGTAGCCTAGCACCTGTGGGTCCAGACCCCAAATCCACCTAAAAAGCACAGGGGATGAGTTTTGTGGGACTCTAGTCCCAACAGAGTATTCTGTGTAAAGGAAAGTTTTATGTTCCATAATGTCATTATCAACTCAGAATCACTGAGAAATCCAGTGGTTAAAAACACAACACAAGACAAAAACCAAAAAATATTGCTATTATCAATTGAAATTTATTTAACTGGTAATTTCCCAAACTAACCTTGGAATCATTTTATTTGAAACAACAGTTATAACAGAATATATAGGTTTGGGGGTGATCATCGGAATTTATCCAACCTTTCCAGGCAGCCTACCTATGGGAAATTAAATATCACATTTAGCGATTAAAAACTAACATTATATTAAGGTGCATCACTAAAAATTTACTCAAATACTGTTTCTCTCACATCGGCCCTGGATTTTTGTGAATACTCTCAATGCTCATGTTTTTAAGCTCTACAGAATGGAGTGAGTATATTACTGGATATGTTTTCTGTTTTTCTCTGGGGTATTAGTGAAAATATCAGAGA